CACTTAAGCCCATCTACTCCAAGGCCAGGAGCATCCATGGAGTAAGAGAACAGGCCTGACACAGACATTCTTTAAGGATGATCTAATTTAAAAAACACATTTTTATAAAAACACATCATAGTGAAAATGCATGTAGTTTAAGAAGAGGCCCACAGCGCTCCAGCACCAGAGGCAGCTGCATGTCAGCGATGCGACTGCTCCGTGGCCCATTCCCCACCTTCCCAAGGAGTCTGGAGTCCTGTGTCCAGCTCCACATCCCCATTTATTTTCCTTTACCACAGAAAGCTTCTCCCCTTCCCCCCCCGCACCCCCTAAAGCATCAGCTGAAGCTGCAGGAGAGACAAAGGCTCAAAGCATCCCCCTATCCCCCTCGCCCCAAGCCAGGCGCGAAGCAGGCGGGCACAAGCAGTCCTTCGCTTCCAGCACTGCCGCATCAAGCAGCGCCAGAGAGAAGCCTGCCCGCGCACCCGCCGCCCGCATCAGCTGCTGGCAACCAGAACTGCTTTTAAAGGTAATCAGGGAACAGAGAAGAGCTCTGGATTGTTTTAATCCTTTCCAAAAAAGTATTGCTAGCCCAACAGCCGTCCTCCTCCCCCTGCGCTTGTGAGGATTTGTACTCATAAGGCCGGATAATTTGACAGGGATAACACACACTCAGCACAGGCAACCTCAGACTTCCCGACGAGTTTGCTCTTTGCTCGGCATGGTTTGCCAGCCCAATAAATCCACCCCCACGTGCCACCCTCCCCTCCCTTCCTTCGTGCAGAGGGCTGGGACGGCAGCCGTGGAGCGTGACTCAGACACACAGGGGACCGAGAACCTCCCCTTCCCACAGGCAGGGCGCTGGGATCACCGGGCACCGGGAAGCACAGCGGCACCGCAGGCACGGGGAGCCGGGAGTGGGGATGCAGGGCCGCCCCGCAGGGACCTGCGGCAGCGAGAGGCACAGGAGCCGTGGAGCCGACGGTTAATAGAGAGCCAGTGTCCCTGTCCCTGTCCCCCCGCACCAGGAGCGGTGTGCAGTGAGGGGCAGGTCTGCAGTCCGGCGCGCGCGGCCCGTGCGCGGCTCACGGGGCGCCCCGGTAGCTGTAGTGATTGCGGTCGGGGTCGCTCATGGTGAGCGGCAGGCTGGGCTTGCGCTCCGGGTCCTTCTCATCACACTGTCGTGGGGGACGGTGCTTGAAGAAGTCAGAGACGTAGCGGACCTGGAAAAGACCAAGGAGACAGAGGGTTTGGGGACCTCTCCAGCAGCTGAGCTGCAGCCAGTGGCCACCCGGCAGAGCACCAGGCTGGGGAGGGGACACTCACGATGAGGACGGCAATGAGAGCCCCTTGGAGCAGCCCCGCCAGCACATCGCTCCAGTGGTGCTTGTAGTCCGACACTCTGGTGTAGCCCACGTAGATGGCGAAGGAGATGAGCAAGAACTGGATGGTGGGGCGCAGCAGCCGGGCCCACTTCCCCACCAGTCGGGCTTGCACGTAGAGCTGGGCAGGGAAGGGAGGAGCAATCACCCAGTACAGAGGGCACCAACCGCCCAGAAGACGGGGTGCTCACGGCACTGGCCCACCTGGGGGGACAGGAGCTGCGGGAGCTCCTCACCTTCCCACAGCACAGCATGCCCGGAGCATGGCACTTACCGCCAGGAACATCATGCAGTACATTCCAAAGGAGGAGTGTCCAGAATAGAAGGACAGTCTGTGGGGAAAAGGGACAGGTCAGGCCATGAGAGCAAGCCCCCAGCACCCAGCTGCCCCCCTGCAAGCCCCCCACCCGCTCCACAGGCTCTGCCTTGCAGCAGGAGAGCATCGACACCCATCTGGGGCTGCCCCCAGACCACAGGAGCCTGGTGGGTGAGGTCCTGTGGCCCCATGGCTCACCTGGACTCAGTGACGTTCCTGCTGTCGCCCTGGCAGACATTCTCCAGCTGCACGTAGATGGAGCAGTTCACCTTGGACCAGTCAGGATTACAGACAGCCAGGAAGTTTGGCCGGAGACGGCCGATCATGTATTTGGCCAGGTCAGTCAGCGACTGGCTGATGGCCCCCCCAAAGAGGAAGGTCCCCACCACCTTGTAGAGGGCGGCCAGGTAGTTGTTGAACTCTGACTTGGAGTAGAGGCGTTCCGTGTAGACCAGATAGGCCTCCCCTGATGAGATCTGCAGAGACCAAGGGGCAAGGGGTGAGGGTCTGGGGGCCACTGAGCAGCTCCCCAGCACCCGGGCTACGGGATGCTCTGGGTCTGCAGCAGAGGAGCCCTCGGCACCTCCGTGCCACAGGAGCTCACGGGGCCTCTCCCTGTCCCTGCAGGGAACCAGCCCCATGGGACATGGGTCCCACCACCCCAGAGGGAGCTGCTGACCCCAGCAGAGCAGGACTCCACACGAGGGTCCTACTGCCCTGCCAAGGGTCCGGCAGTGGGCTGTGCTGGCACCCAGCTCCTGGATGCAACGTGCCAGGATGTCCCTGGCCCAGAGGGAAGGGGTTGGTGCTTCCTTACAATGACAACGGTGCAGGTGATGGTCACCCCAGCCATGAGGCCATGGGTGATGGTGTCCGCCTTGTAGGGGTAGCGGATGGAGTCATCGTTGCAGTAGAAGCCCCGCTTGTAGGGGGAGTTCACCAGCGTGAGGATGACAAAGGGCAGAGACGCTGCAAGGCAGAAAGAAGTTGAGGACTGGGGACACCGGTGTGCAGGCTCCACGCAGGCACCCGGCGCCATGCGGTCTCCCCGGGTCTCTGCTCCTCTGCTGAGGACGGATCCCCTCTGGGAACACAGTCCCATGCCGCCTGCACCCAGGGCAGGAGGACTCGCAGCCACCAGCACGCCGGCCCTGCCGCTGATAGGGCCCTATCTGAGCTCACAGCTGCCTGTGGCGCCCAGATACCACACAAGACGGCCGTGACCGGGCACCTGCAGAGCCCCCATGGCTGCCCCACTCCTCCCCAGGCACAGCCACCGCGGTGCAGGACACCAGGGCTGATCTCACACCCTGTCCTCACGCTGCCCAGGGTCTTTTGGCCTAGGAGGACAGAGCTCATTAGACTTAACGAGCACAGGCATCTCGCAAACCTGTTTTACAGCAGGGAAGGGCCCTCAGGCCCCAGATGGTCCCAGCACCTCACACCAGCTCCAGGAGAGCCAGTGCCCAGAGATGCCGGTGGGTGATCCAGTGCAGGCAGTCAGACCCCAGTGCACTTGGCTTCCCACACTCGCCCTCGCGCAGCCCTCGCTCCTGCCTGGCTCTCCTCCGCCTGGGCTCCCATCAGGGCTCTGCAGAGATGCTGCAACCGGTTGGATCGATCCGGACACAGAGGCTTTTCCACCCAGCGTGCCCCAACCCTGACCACGGGCATCTCGGGGCTCATCCCTGGATGGGATCGCCCCTGAGATCAAAAGGGGTTTTTGGGGGGTCTCTGCCCGTGCAGCCCACATGCCAAATGCCCCACTGGAAGGGGACCTCCTGCCCCCGTCCGGGGATAACCCCTCCGGCAGCGCCGTTCTGGGCGGCCCCGGGGGAGC